TTCTTCTCCTGGTCCTCCTCTTCCATGAGGATCCGATTATAGCCCGAGTAGGCATCTAAGAAGCTCATCAGTTCATGCTCGACCATTGCATCAATGAGCTGGTCGATATGAGGTAGTAGGAATGAATCTTTGAGGCATGCTTTGTTTAAATCTGTAAAGTCTATGCACATCCTCCACTTTTCGTTCTTCTTTTTCACCATGATCACATTGGCGACCCATTGGGGGTATTTTGATTCCCTGATAGAGCCATTTTCCAACAATTTTTCGACTTCCTCATGGACTGCATCGTTTATTGCGGAGTTGAACTTCCGCTGACCTGCCTTACCGGGGGTAGAACGGGTGGACGTTCAACTTGTGTGTGGCGACCTCCTTCGGGATACCTGGCATGTTTGCATGGGAAAAAGCAAACATGTCTGCATTAGTAGTTAAGAATTGACGAAATTTACCTGGTTCTTGAAGCTTGCAGCAGACGTAAGATTTCTTGTTGTGGTTGTTATCATCAAGTTGGACGGGGTCGAGGTCTTCTACGGTTGATCTCGTGGTTTCTATTATTTCGGGGTCTCTGTGACGTCCGCTCTTTCATCACAGCTCGACCTCGACCATGTTAATTTCTATGCATCTTTTGCTTTGCCCTTCATTTATTGGGTATATGTTCAATCATGGGCGATGCGATAGCATTCTCGACATGTGCTCATATGTTGAATACTCCCCATGGGGTTGGAAATTTGACAACTTGGTGCAAGCTGGAGGGGATGGCCCTCATGGCGTGTATCCAGGGTTGACCTATTATGGCGTTGTCCATGATGTGGAATATGGTTTCTAGAGTGACGCCGCTGCCCAGGATGAGGAGTGTGATTTCCCCAGACGTTCGTTCAGCTGCATTGTTAAAACCTATTAGCATGATGCAATGCGACACTATCTTATCCTCGAGTTTCATTTGCGCAAGCACTCGAGGGTGCATAATGCACGCGTCGCTCCAATCGTCCACCATAATATGTCTTACATATGTATCTAATATTCGTGAAGTAATAATAAAGGCATCATAGTGAGGGAAAACCAAACCGTGGGCATCCCACTTATTGAAGATGATACTTTCTTCGAGTTCGTCATACCGTTCATGAGTGATCGACCGTTTGAGTTTGTGGGTTGTGGTGAATTTTACGCCATTGATCGATGCGTCGTCGCCACCTCCGATGATCATTTGAACGGTGCAAGTTGGTGAAGGTGGTTTCGGCGGTCCCTGGTGTTTTTCACGTCCTCGGGCGAAGTTGGTCCTCCCTCGGCCGCTCAGCAATTCTTTTAGGTGTCCTTGGTGAAGCATGTTTACAACCTCCTTCCTTAGAGCGATGCAATCCTCAGTTTTGTGACCTCGCTCTTGGTGGAATTCGCAGAGGGCGTTTGACTTTCTGGTGCTCGAGTCTGACCTCATCTTTTGTGGCCGCTTCACTTTTGTTCCGAGCTTCTCCAGCGCGTAGTCTATTTCTGAAGGCGACACACAAAAATTGTGAGCGGATAATGAAGGAGGCATACCCCTCTCGTTCCGGTGAGTCCCTGTCCTTGGCCTAGATGGGCCCTCCTCGTGGAGGGAGGGGGAATGATGACGCTTCTGATATACGGCTGATGCCTTTCTTGGTTGGGTCGTAGAGCTGCAAGATCCCTCTTGGAATCATTTCTTTGATACTTCCTGGATTCGGCTTGTACCGAGGTCAATCGATGGGTTGGCCCATTCAGGTTGTCTTGGTTAGCACGGACCTCGGCACAGTAGGCGTTGTGTATTTCATCCCAAGTGGTTGGAGGATATTTCATAAGCCGACTTAATAATTTTCTGGTCGCCCTCGAACCATTCGTGTTCAGCCCGTTCTGGAAAGCTGCTACAGCCATGCCTTCTGATACATTTGGTAAGGTCATCCTTACTCGGTTGAAACGAGCGAGGAAGTTACTTAATTCCTCTTCGGGCGATTGTTTGATGGCAAATGTATCGTTCACTCTTGCCTCCGCCTTTTTGCCCCAACATGGGCCATTACAAACTTGTCGGCCATCTCTTCGAATGTTTCAATGGAGTGCGCGGGCAGTTGTGAATAACAAATTAATGCTCCTCTAGTGAGGGTCTCGCCGAACGTTTTCAACAAGATAGAGGATACTTGTTCTTTGGCGAGATCATTGCTCTTTACCGCAGTGGCATAGTGAGTCACATGATCCTCGGGGTCGGTCTTACCGTCGTATATTTTCAGATAAGGCGGCATCTTGAAGGTCTTGAGTATGGCATGCGAGGCGGCTTCATCACCGTAGGGTTGTTCAACGAACCGACCAGCATCTCTTTTCGGCAAGAGTTTTGTGGCACCCGATATTTTGTCAACTCTTTCTTGGTGTTCTCTCATTTGGTCCCAAAGCATTTTGTTTTCATTTTCCATTTCTTCCATCTTTTTCAGAATGGCTGTGAGGGTGTCGTCACCTGCATTAAAATTGTGAATGATACCTGTTACTAGAGGGAGAGGGCTGTGTTGCTCGGTCGTTACTCGTGTAATGCAAGTCCTTGCTTTTTCTCTAACTGCCTCCTGGGCGGGGTTGTCGAGGATGCTGGTCAACGTGTTTGTCAGCCAAGCCTCAAGCAGTTTCTTCACTGCTGGTAGCGCCTCTTCTGTTGTGGACGTGGAAGCTCCTTTACCGCGGGATGTTGTGATACTGCCGTGAGGAATGGGCGACCCACTTCGCATGGAAGAGGCATTAAGCGTTATATCTTCGTCTTCCGTTTCAGAAACCTCATTGATGGTGTTTAAGAGGTTGGTGGTGAGATCGGCCACTGCCTTCATTTTTTCTTCTCCGTTACCTGCCATGTCATATCTGTGTGGTACAAGGAAGTAGGAGTTTTGTGTGTGTTTTTTTTGAACTGTGCCAGTTATATATCTAGAAGAAACTAAAAATTTAACTAGGAAAGACAGCGCCAAATTGTTTGACCAAAAAATGTAAATCTTGGGCTAAACTAATTATTTTTATATAAAGAGGGGCTAAACCTAGTTAATGATAATATCCCTAGATTTATTATCGGTTAACACAACTAATGTAGAACAACGTTGGTGAGGGATTAAATGCGGTGTGCATTTAATGTTCCAAACGGTTTGAGTAATGAGAGATAAATATCAAGTAGTAAATAACAATAAATGGCTTTAACGTAAATATGGAGAAAGATTCACCCAATATTGAATGAGGTGGATGATTCGTCCTTCTGACAGTGATGAGTGACAGACAAATCCTAGAATATTAGAACTATTCTCGGATCTAGTGGAAAAGTATTGAATAATGGACGGAAAAATCTTAATGAAAAAGCAATATTTGTATCATTTCTAGAGAGAGAATCTTTTTCTCAAAAAGTGTTCTTATCAAATGGATCTTCCATGCCTTTCACTTATCTCTTTTTCTATTTATGTGGGACATACTCCCCAGTCAACCCTAAAAGTACAAGTAAAGAGAATATTCTCCTAAAGATCATATTACAAAACTAGCCATTACTATTGCTGTTGATACTTGATCTCGTCGGTTATTGACTGCTCGGCTATGAGCCCCCTTTTACTAGTCTTGGCCATATTATTTTTCGTAATACCACTTCATATTAAATCTCCTTGATGCAGATTTTGACCCGTACAAGCATGACTTACACCGATCTACCAGGTTATTTTGAGGATGAACATCCTCCTTTTAAATTTCTCTTTGTAGAGTTAATATATAAGACACGTTTCAGTTGATGAGATAGACACCGCCTGCACTATTTTAACAACCTTTAATGCAGGGCAACCAAATATAACCCAGACCGTTGGTTGCTGGAATTAGGGGATTATTCTAATATAATACTCGGGATTAAATTTGTCTTGTGCATACAATTCAAAAAAGATATAGATCAATGTATAGATTCCAATCCTCTTCCTATAAAGGTTCTTTTTTTTACTTTTAACTAAAGAGCTTTTCTTCAATTTTTCGACAGTTTTGACTCTTTTATATTTTGACTTTGCATTACAAAAGTTTAAGTTATAGGAAAGGATCATTAAACCTATCGAATTGAGTGAAAAATAAAATATGTTTAACCAAAATTTCATACGTATAATACAGTAAATTTGAGTGAAAAGGAAGCAACCCTAACGTACAAAGACATAGACATCTGGTAGCACCCCTACATATCAAGGAAAGAACAGTCCTCTTCAGAAAAGGAAATTGAAGTACACAAAGATGTGGTTACTATCAAGTTAAATTAAAGTACAAATTCTTTTCCTTTTCACTACTCTACAAAATGACTTGAGAATTTTAAAACTCCGAAAAGAGTGAAATTTTTTTAAAGTGGAAATTGTATTTTAAAATTAGAATTGTGTTTGGAAGTAAATAAAATTTGGAATTGTTTTTAAATTTTTTGTGACTGATTTGGAGATTCTTTTTTGGAGTTTTTCAAATTTTCAACTTCAAGTGAAATTTGAAATTTTCATGAACAAACACTGATTCTTAAAAAAATAAAAATAAAAATTGTTATGGCCAAACAGGCCCTTAGTTTCTCACAGCTTTTCAAGATTTCCCATTAGGCGGAGAAAAAAGATCACAAGGACCCTACCCTCAAAAAGGCTGCATGTCCCTAAAATTCAAAACAAATCCAATAGCATTCTACAAACCTTTTTCTTTTTCTTGTTGATGGCTATTGGCCAACAAGAGACATAGATGCATCAAATCTCACAAACAGTTCTAAACTTTCATCCTCTCATAGCCCCAAATTGCTTTCCACTTTTTTCCAAAAGACACCTGCAATTATATTATAAAAGCATCCCAAGTTTAAGAAGAAGAAAAAAACTTTAAAAGTTAGCACTTTTTGTTGTATTTATTTAATTTTTTTGCAACCAACTAAGTACTTTTATTCATCTTCCGCAAAAGAGGTACAAGAGGTCTGAGGGAGCTATAACAACTACACATTACCCCGTTCTGATTTGAAGATAAGACAGACTATCCTAGTAAGCTTGAGAAACGAATTAACAACAAAATAAATTAATAAACAATAAATTCAACAAACACTAAAACCAACAATTCCTACTAATATTTCTTTAACGGTTGAGACCCTTATAACCCAACTGATTGGAGTTGAATTTGTGCTTTATTTGCCAACATTACTTGTGCATTGACGCTTCTGCTGGGGTTTATCATCAATTTGGTCAATCTCCAGGAAAGTGAGGCTCTTTCTTTTGGATGGAACTGAAGATTTTTCTAATTTACCATTCCTCAGCAGTTGATTTGGTGACAATTGAGGAGATAATAAGCACTTGGGTGACTTATATATTTCCTTGTTAAGGTATAACATTTGATTATAGCAAGAAAACACATCATCCTGCAGTAGCAGTTACAAATGAAAAGGTTATTTGAACAATGTAATGGGATATTATTCTAATAAAAAGTAAAGGGTCAGAGACTCACAATTTGAAGAATACCATTCAAATGTAAGACATTTATTTCAACCTCTAAAGCTTCCATTGTCAAACTTTTGTTTAGTACCAATAATGTAGCCGCTGCTGCTAGTACAGATGGTCTCACACTCATTAACTTTATATCTGCTTAATTAATGGTAAAAAAAAAAAATCACTATTGACTAAATCAGAAAACTAGACTTTGAATGAGAAATCAAAATTACCTCTGAGAGCAGTAAAGATGATTTCCACAGTTGTGGAGATGACACATTTCCTTGAATCATTTATGCAAAATCTTGATACAAAATAATTAATGAAATTAAAAGGAGTGATACACCCCATTCTCCATTCCAGTGTATTAAGTACCAAGAGCTCCATTCTCTGAATCACACTGCTCTCAAAAATGTGATATTCTGTTAATGTTGGCACTTTGCATTCCTCCATTTTTGCAGCCAAAGATAAACATGCCACTGCTAGTAACTTTACTGCCCAGTGTTTTTCACCCTACAAAAATCCTAAACAATGATCAATCAATATTATCTATGAGTAATATCCAATTTGTAAAAAAATATTGGCTTACATCTAGAAACCTTCTTGAAAGAAACCCGTCACAATATGTCACTGCTATATAAACTGTTTTGAATCTAAATCCAAATGATTCTCCTGTCTGCATCAAGTTAACATATTTTTCACATTCTCATAAAAAACATCGAAGGAAAATTCCAAAAAAAAAAAATGGGGTTTTTGTTAGGACTAACTTTAAGAATATACTGAACTGCAGCCAAACGAGCTTGTTGAATCCAGTCAAAATTGGTAACATGTGAAGATTCTTGACCTTGGAGTCCAAAACTGGCAATTTCTCTATCAATCAACATTTGTATATATTCATCACCATTTTCTTCAGATATAATCAGTGTGTGTTCTTCTTCACATAGAAGACTGGAATAAGAAAATGTATTTTCCATCTTAGAACATTTTTTTGCGCCACTTGGGGTTAGTTTACATGTGTACAATGCATACAAGTAGCAGAAATTTTAGGATAAATATGGTAGTGATGAGATAAGGACGGGAAAGAAATTTGCGGGGTACAATTTGTTAGGATAAACTAGCTCAAATACATTTTTAATATGGTGTCCGCTTTGGGTCAAGCCGGCACGATTTTTCCCAAAAGGCCTCACATCACTAATAAATTCCTACACCTTATATGTGGACTCCCAATCTTTTCAGCACTTTGTTCGCACACCCAATACAATTTATATATTCTGATTTTACGTGTGCTGTATAATTTTATATAACCGTCAAAAACGGTGTAAATTTTGAGATGTGGGCGTGAATATAGAGAGTTGCCGGTACGTCGTGGCGAGTACGGCGGCGGAGATGATGGTGGTAGTTTTGAGTCAAAGCTGAATGACTAATGTTTGACTAGAGAGAGAAAGAGAAAATTCAGTTCTGACTTGTGAGTTGTGAGGGAGATTAGGGGTTTTGTAACTATTAAGGAGAGTATGGGCGCGTGAAGGGACGGTCCAATGGGATGAATGTGAGTGGACAGTTTCAATAGCTGTAATTCTTTTGGTGATTGGACACGACCCTTTTACTTTCTGGTGTTAGAGTAATTCAGTATTTTCGAGTGACAAGTCAAGTAGCTACCATGTCAGCCGCCATATGCGTTTGTTTGAAATTTTGTAAAAACTGAGTTTACAAATTTAATTTTTAAGTTTTCAGAACTTGTTTGTTAGAGTAAATTCTTTGAAAAAGCATATCTTTTCTTTTCTGCAGATCTCCAATAATGATCACATTTCAGTAAGCAAGTTTCATATATTTGTATATTTATATTTATATTGTTACTTATAAGAGTACAAATACGATATTTATAGACCAAAATAGCCTTAAAATATTCCATCAGAGACACATCCCATACAGGATGAAATTATATTTTATAATATACTTCTGTTTAATTTATTAAATTCCTAAAAAGAAAGGCTCGTGGATTCATGCTGGATACCTACCGGACTCATAGACAAAAACCACAAACTTAAAAATGAATAAAGCTAAGTATTTTTCTCTTTCAGATAACCAAAAGAAAAATTAACAAGAAAAAAGGATGTAATCTAACAGCAAATCAATATATGACGTTAGAAAGGGAGAAAAATTTTCAATAGTAAATCAAAGTGTCTTCAACTAAAAAATCGTAAATTAAATAATCGAGACAAATCAGATTGTCTTCCATTCTTAAAAATATGTATGATATCACATAAATACAGAAGTAAATATCTTCCAATAAGCATTGAGCAACAATTTGAATTCAATTATAATTTTTCATCAATGAAAATTGAAATATTATCTATAAATAAGGTATTCTTTAATTTTTCAAAGACATGATTGTTCTATCAAACGAACTAAAGCCCCTCAGATATTTAGGCCTCATTTGTTTTTTTTAAGATTAAGACGTCTGAATCTGAATACACATTTGAATATCAAGATGTGTATTAAGATTAAGACATCTGAATCTGAATACACATCTGAATATATTAAGATGTGTATTAAGATCTGAATAGAAATAACTAAGACTGTTTGATTTTTAACATCTGAATGTATAAAATTTATCTTTATTTGAAAATTAATAAACATAAAATTCAAATGAAATACTAACTAATCTAATATTATATCAATAAAATATATAGTTTTTTAAAATATGATAGTTGTTGGTGGTGTGGCTAACGGGTGAATGCCGAGTAGAGGCGGTGGTTGGTGGTTATTTTGGTTGATGATGGTGGTTCATGCTAGTAGCTAGTAGTGATTGGTAGTGGTGGAGATTATGATTGAGGATGGTAGTGGTGGGTGGTGATAGTTAATAATATCGGATGGTGGTAGTAGTTGTGATTGAGGAAGGTGGTGGGTGGGTGGTGGTAGGTTATAATGATGGGCAGTGCCGGCTGTGGTTGTTGATGGTGATGGGGGTGGTCAGTTGTGGCAGTTGAGGCGGATGAGTGTTGATTGTGGGTGAGAATGATGGTGGCGGAGTGGTGGGGATAATCGATAATGGAGGCTATGATTGAGGATGACGGTGGCGTGGTGGTGGTGGGGTGGGAGTGGTGGTGGTTGAGTATGGTAGTGGTGGTGGCATGGTGGTAGTTGATAATGGTAGGCGGTGGCAGTAGTTAATAATGAATATGTGATAGCATCTTAATGAAATTAAGTCTCTGTTATAGATCTTAATCATACAGACCTATTCAGACGCATTAAGTGGTTGTGAAGTAAAAAAAAACACTTAATGATTAAGATCTGAATAATTAAGATTCAGACTTTAAAAACAAACGCACTTAACATCTGAGATCTGAATGATTAAGATTGAGACCTCTATTAAGTGCAAACAAATGAGGCTTTAGACCAAATAAGCACAGGAGGTTTAGAAGTAGGTTGCTGAGCCTCTCCATTCTATTCGGTGTACAATAAAAAGGGTGGACCAACTCAAGAAAATATCTTAAGTTTAAGATTTTACCGAGGCTAATCTTTAGAACTGGTTGTGAAAGAATTTTTCTTTTCCGAAGGCCTATATTTATTATGGATTTCGGACATATTCGAACCGTATTAAATTGGTCGTTGCCTTGTAGTCGAGTATAGCCCGGTGAGCTTGCTTTCTCGAGTTATCTAGGCTTGCCTAAGATAACAGTCCTTGAGTAGGTATGGCCGTGGCCTTTAAAATTAGAGTTTTGGCACAGTTACCCACAAAAATAAAACTATTTACCCTTGTCTATCCATTTGTTTTTCTACCCATAAACTAATTACATTTCCTACCCATAGTAGTTTTTGTGGGGAATTTTTTCTTTATTCTCAATTCTTTTTTATTTCTATGCTTCTTTTCTTTTCTTTTTTCTTTTTTTTTTCTTTTCTCCTTTTCTTTTTTCTCGTTTTCTTCTTATTTTTTTCTTTTTTCCTTTTCTAATTTCATTTCAACTTCTTTTCTTTATATTATTTTTCTCTTCATAATCTAATTTTATTTACTGTTTTCACTATTTTTTATTATTCTTTTTTATATTATGTCTAAAGAAAAATTAAATTGTGTACAAATTAAATGTAGCTAATACAATCAAAAAATATTAACTAACATATAATACCAGTATAGTATATGGCTATACCAACAGGGTATACAATTGTACGCAAAGAGTTAGAAAAAATTTAATTCAATTATTAAACTGAAATAATATCAGTTGTCAATAAAAAATTCAAAAATTCTAAAAGGATCTAATTGTAAGAGTATACCGTTACACTATATAGCATACTATAATTTTTTATTTTTATTTTTTTTTGCATTTTCAATTTGCCCCTCACGCTGGGTAAAAGCTTAAAGCAAATTAAAAGGGAAAAGGCAAGTGAATTTACGGGTAATAACTATTCTATTATAGTATATTGTATACTATTACAGCATACTGTTACAGTATATTGCATATTATTACAATATACTATAACAATATATTATATACTATAATAGTATACTGTTGTAGTATAACTATATACTCCTATAGTATATTGATACTGTAGCGGTATATTGTTAGGTAACTGTGTTCTTCTTTGATTATTACAATATACCGTTGCAGTATATTGTAAACTATAATAGTATACTGTTGCAGTATAGCTATATATTCCTACATCATATTGTATACCGTCGCAGTATACTATTGGGTAGTTGTGTTCTTCTTCTATTTTCAGCTGAAAATTTCGATCTCAATCACCTCAAATCAGCTCCAAATGCTATCAAATTTCAGTATGAACTTCCAGAAGGTATTATAAGCAATATTTAACAGCACCCACTTTGAATCAAACAAGAAATCTTCAAAATAAAAATTTTAAGCCAAGGCAAGAGCAAGAGATAGGGAAAGAACAATCAAGAAAAAGTGAAACACAATTGAAACTAGCCATTTTCGTTATTGGCGCAGAATTGATCCACATAATCTTCGTTAGTTTGAGCTAATAAAAAGTAATGATATGCCATGCAACCGAAATCTGATCAATTCCAAAGATGTTCAAAGTAATAGATGCTCAATACCACTTGCAGGAAATTTTGAAGAAAATACAGAAACATGTTCCTCGATACACAAGTACAGCAACTTTTTTACCATGCTAAATAAGTTAAGAACCCTACACAGCTGTTCAGCTTCATCTTCGTTAACAAAAAGACTGTCATCTGGCTTGGACCCCAAGTAGATGAAGTAGATGAATTTCGGGGAAAAAAATGCAAACAACTAGCAATCAACTGGATAAAATCATGGTAAATGCAAAAATAAATCAGTAATTAAAAGAAGCAAGCTGCCTCTATAAACTAACCCCCTCAATGCCCAAGTCTTCACATTGCTTGACATCTAATATGTCAATTGACGATGGAGCTTTTTTGTGGATCTACAATAGCTAAACGATATGCTCGTCCGATTCAGAGGCAAAGCAGTAGCTGTATCTCAATATTTCTACTCAATAAGTGCAACCCCCAGCTCCTGCCCCGACACATTTCTTGGTAAAATACATGGTTAATTCTCTAGGATCCTCCAAAGAAGAAGCAACATCTACATCTTCCAAGGTAACGTCATGGAAATCCTTAAAAAAAATCCCGATTTAGTCCTCAATTTTTTGAAACATACCGTTTTGGACAACACCCAGATGAAAAAATTAGTTTCTAGGGCACCCAAATTGCTATTCTATGATTTTTCCAAAACCCTAAAACCCAAATGAATAAGCGGGTAGATAGTTTAGGCAGCATGGGTAGGAGTAATAAATAGTTTGGGCATGGGCATTAAAGGATAAATAGTTTGGATTTAATGGGTATAAAGTGAGATTTTTTCTTTAAAATTCAAGGGTAGCCTAAGAGGTCTTAGCCCTCGATGTTCAATAGTTCGATATGTTTGAGTTTATTTTATGGACGATAGTCCCCAAGTGTGAAAATGATTATCCGAACTCTGGTTACAATCGGCCTTTGGGCTCGTTTCCTTAACGGATCGAAAATACGGGGTTGTAAAGTGGAAATTTTTTCAAGACATTAGATAGCTGGAAGGAAAGTACTTCTCTTTATTCTTGTCAAAAATAGTCACACATGTGTGCATGTTTTATGTCAGGGCTCGAGCAATCTATGTGGGCACAGTTCGTTTTGATCGTTTGGCCCTTCCAATAAATGCTATCTATTGAGACCCTTTCATTTCGAAATAATTCCCTTGCTAGAACAGTTCGATATTCGAGGGCAACCCCCCTCCCCTAGTATTCGAGGTTGATTGTAAAGAAATCTCGGATACTATAAACATAATCTTCGGTGTTGATTCGTGATCGGCCTTCAATTCTAAGTTAGCACGATCTTTTTGTTGCCTCGTTGAAAACCTTGCTGAAAAATCCAATTGGGACAAAAACGGTTCATGGAAAAAAGAGTGCAACGCGTGCTTTCAGACCTAAAGGCTTCGTGCT